TGTTAAGTCACAGTAAATCCTGATCATTTAAAAAGGTGGTTATAAACAAAGATGTGCTGATGTGTTGAAAGATGTCAGAAAATTCTCTTTGAAATATGCATATTCACATCTATGTCACACCCATATCATATGGAAGTCCCGAGTAGGGCTGTGCGATATGACCAAAATCTCATATCGCGATATAAGACATATATCGTCCCGATAATGATATAAATCACAAAATTTCCTGTAAATTCTGTGAATCTCGGGCAGCTCGACTTGCGTGACGTGTTTCCAGCTGCGCGTCGTGTAGCTGGAGTCGAGTGTTTTAACCGATGCATGAAACGATACATTTTTAGACATAAGTTGTAACGGCGCCGTTTTCTTTGTGAGTATTTATTACACGGCGTGCTGCGGGGAAAAGCCTGTTCTAACGTTTGAGTCTAAGGTTTATTTTTTAGCACCTGGCGGCTCTTTTTTAATTCTCATCCGTAAATAATCTGCTCTTTCACGTGATTCAGTTTATTTTGAAAAGTCTCAACAGGATCTTGAGCTTTATTGTGAAAGGTTTATGTGGAACATAAACAAGCGGACACGCGATGCTGTTACCGTCGTTGTTGCTAACCACAACGCATAAAAACAGGCGCTTGTCCGTCTGTAGTGTGGTTATATTAAATATAAGAGAAAGAGAGAACTTTAAGAAATTAATATAGCCACTACAGTGACCATCAAAACGATGAAAAAATATTGCCGTAAACAGTTTATTTTGCGACACCAAAAACAAACAATAGCGTAAAATGAAACGATAGATGTTTTTATATCGTCATCCGATATATATCGTTATATCAAAAAGCCCTAGTCCTGAGTGACGTCAGCAGACCGGTAGCATAATGTGAGCCGGGCACACTGTCACGAGCACTCACACTAACACGGTCTATATTGACCTGGTAGCATCACACAGTTGCCAGATTTGAGTCTGGAGACCATTTAAATACAGTGAACTCATTGCCATGTTCAACAGTGTAGTTTGAGTTGATTTGACCTTTGTGACACTGCGTGTTAGCCATCAAAGGAGGATACACAGTGGTCATAAGGACATGGATATGGTCAGTAGCAACACTCAGGCAGCAGTTGTGTTTAAAACCTCCCACCAAAACTAGAACCCTGAATCACTGACACAAGGCAGGATGTTGTTTATGAGCCCATTACCCAAATGTCACAGCAGAAGTCAAGACTCATCAGACCAGGCAATGTTTATCCAGTCTTCTATTGTCCAGTTTCCTGTTCTTAGCTGATACTAACCGTCCCAATGTGGTCATCTGCTGCTGTAGCACATCTCTTTCAAGAGATGCTCTTCTGCATACTTTGGATGTAAGACGTGTTTTTCGAGTTCATGTCGCCTTCCTTTCAGCTCAAAGCAGTTGGGGCATTCTTTTCTAAACTCTGGCATCAAGAAGGAGAACTGGATTGTTTTCTCTTTTTCAAACTATTAAACCCTAGAGGTGGTTGTGTGTTTCTAAAATAATTAGACCAGCCTGTCTGGAAACAACAATGCCATGTTCAAAGTCACTTAAATAACAAATCACCTTCCCACTTTCATGCTTAGTTTGAAGTTCAGCAGTTCACCTTGACCGTGTCTACAATGTATTAAGCTGCTACCATGTGATTGGCTGATGAGATATTTGCATTAATTGGTAGATTAAAAAGTGTATCTAATGAATTGACCACTGAGTGGATTCCTGTTAAGACAAGGCTCACACAAACAGCTCAGCAATCAGCTTGTAGTTCATATAATGCAAAATTTAAATGAGATAAACATGGCTGTACTATCCATCTCTCCCCTTAAGGAGCAGCAGTTTATCTCTCTAATAATCAGGTTGACACTAAATACATCAACACCAAGAAATCATAAAAACAAAGAAATCAGCGCTATTGATTGGCCTGGTTAATTTTCTGCTTGATGGTTTTCTGAAGCCAAACTGAGTTTGCGAAGCTTAGAACTGTTTCTGTGTGAGTAAGTGTTTCTCAGAGTCACGTATATCATCTGACATAAATGATACAGTGGGAAATTGAGGTTGGAGATTGATCTGTAAGCTTCAGGTATCATCTGAAGGAAAATAGAAAAGACACAATCGGCCCTTAGAGCCTTAGAGCTAAAGAAGGAAAACGAGATTTTGTCACTGACAGACTAATCTGTTGTTTTTCAGATTAAGGTCAGTATTGAGGTCATGTATTACAGAAAACCCCCAACTTCTTTACTAAAAACAATGAATGCATTGCTTATATACGTGTGGTAGACAGTAACTACTTGCACTACTAGCTGTAAAAATGGCTGTTGCCTGATACTTTGAATGCTGCACTTTAATTCTATTAGAATTTTCTGATTTAACCATGTGCTTAAAGAAGTAATTTATTTTATATAACTGCACTGTAAATAATGATGGGAGGAAAACTGAGCCGGATCTTTCAAGTTCCAATAACAATAATTTCTCTCCACTGTGCAACTTTTCACTTATTATATCCTCCATCATCCAGAGGAAAGGATAGTAAAAAGAAAATAGCCCTCAGGAAGAATGAGGGAGACACACAGTTAAATACAGTGAAATGTGGAAATTAACCAACAGTGCAGTAAGCATTGCGAATGTGCTGTGATATGAGACCAGCTCTCATAAATATTGTAGCAGAGTGTCAAGCAGCCTGCCAGCAACCAACATACTGCTCCTCACACTGATAAAACAGGGCTAAACAATCACTGCACTGGAAACATACACACCTGTAAGTACACACACACACACACACACGCACGCACACACACGCACACACACACAGGACAAAGCTGTTCAAGAATCCTCAATGTTTATATCAAGCTCTATATTTCACTTGTCATTTCGCAGGAAAGACTCTGCACAACATAAAATATTAAAGACAGATGATAAGGTCAAAAATCTGACTATTTAAATTGACAACAACTGGATTGTCGGTAAGCACCTTTTTTCAGATGTTAAACACATTACTGATTTATCATCAGGCTCATGTGTGAAATGTGTTGGCAGTGATTTGGTCAGAGCAACGTTTGCATTCATTATCTGGACACTCCAATGAGTTGATGATCTATCTATGTATATACATATACATACATCCACAAACAAACACACACACACACACACACGTTTAAAATGAGCTACTCTTGAACATAGCTTGTTCTGCCCCTTGTCACAGCATGGTGGGTTTATTACAGCTTTATAGCTGTAGGATGATCATAGACTGTATATGTCCTACCACTGTGATGCCATTTTCTAATAATATTTTTTAGTTATAATATTTAAATGCCGCTTCAAGTAACTACCTAATGCCAACAACCTTGGTACATAATATAAACACAAAGACGCATATCTATGAAGTAGTGGTGATTAACATGTAAGCAAATTCTACAGTTTCACTCCCAAAATGCTCCAAAAGGCAACAATACCACAAATTAGCTAAGGGTATATCCAGAAAACAGCTAGTGGCCTCAGAGCAGCCATGGCTCCAATCACGCATAACGCTAGCCCCTTAATACAGTAATACAGACGGGGTGAGTTATAAAAGATTCACCACACATACTGTTGTTATAAAGCTGTAAAAATAGTTCTTTCATCTTTAAAGTCACTTTAACATTGGACTTTATTGGGATTGACTCTCTTTAGAAGACAGCCTCTAGTGGCTATATTAAGAACTGCGGTTTTCAGTGTTTCGTGTTGGCTTCATTAGCGTATGCCTGCCAGATGTGTGCTAATGCCAGTTTACTGTCATTGCAACACAGCTGTTTGTTATACTGATTAGCAGCAGGGGAGCTCATTTTGTTTGGACTGTTTAAAAAAAACAGCAAGTCTGTTAAAGTTTTCAGCACACACATCTTTTAGAGTCTCAGGTACATAATTAGCAGCTTATTTTGTGGGTTTTTTTATATATATATATTTTCTGTTTACTTTCTGCAACCAGAAATGTTCTTCAAGCTTTTCTCTTCGGCAGAGACGCTAATGCAAACTCAAAGTCACATACTGGCTCAATCTGCAATCTGGATTCTATTCATTAAAATCTGTAAAAACCAAACAACAATTAGTTTTGCATATACCATGTGAGAAAAACGTCACTAACTGAACATAAAGGTTTACTCCACTTAAGAAGATTACGAATAGTCCTAATTGAAGGCAATTCATTTTTGAAACATCATAAATCTTAAAGACACACGTCGTCATCATTTAGATGGGGAAAGTTAATTTGCAAATGAAAAGATCAGCATTTTCTGCACGATGACAAAACAGCAGTGGAGGAGAAAAGGGGGAAGAGCAAGAACCAACAAGTGTATTTAAACACAATAGCTCCCTGTGGTACATCTATGGATTACACTAGTAACAATAGACTATTATCACAGCTGTCCAAAACCAACAGTGATTCCTCCCTGATGACACAAACATAAAACACAAAGTGTGATAAAGAGAATAAGGGTTACTGCTACAAAGAACAAAACAAAAATCCCCCAAAAAACATGTCAAACAGCGCAGCATGGGATTGATTTGGAGCCTAAATTGTTTTTGCATGTGTCTGCGAGTGTGTTCAGAGGAGGGTCAGAAGTAAATATGAAATGATGTGGCATCTGTTCAGGCTTTAAGTGATATATCACTCTATTCCACTCCGTTTAGCATCACTTCGTCTGAGTTAATTGGTTCATGAGGAGCACTAATTAAGGGGAATGGCCTTGTTTATCGTCATGGCGATGCTCGTTAAGCAGAGAGATTTTTTTTTTTCCTTCCAGTACTCATGACATTAACCCACCCTTCACAACTTGTGGGTGGGAAGTAGTATCAGTGTTTACCCTTTGATGTGTCAGCTGCATCTGCGTTTCTGTGCAGCAGAATCAAGTGCACACACAGCTTGACAACGCTCTGCATGTAATGTATACAAATGCATATGCACACAATGGCACACATAAAAACGCATTACAAACAAACAGGCAATACATTATCCAAGATGTGTCCTACCTCTCTACGCCGTGAGGCCCAGCAGGTCTGTTTGATTTTCCAAACTACAGCAGCCACCAGCAACAGCGACAGGAAACAGCTGGACAGAGGAGACAGACAGATGATAAATCAATCCAAAATCAATGATTTCTCAGTAGTGCATGAACAAGAATATGCAAAAAAACAAAACAACGACCCATCAGGCAGCATTAGATGGAAACAATTTAAAGAACCGCTTTACTTCTACGAATAAAAGGTTATACAAGAAATGTTAGCATTTCAAGTAACCAGCAGTTGATGTGGCACGAATCAGAACAGATGGCTTTCAACCAAGAGACTACATGGGTTGTTTTTTTTAATTATTATTCTGTTTGTTAGTCAAAATATTACAACTAAGTGCTTGATGTCACTCAAGGTGACAAAATAGTCAGTGAAACAAAAGAAAAATCATTGTGTTCATGCTTATAATTAGCTTTTCAGCTGTTAATGTTTTCTTTTTATTTGTTGGGGTTATCCTGCGTCCAGTATCTGTGGATAACACAATCATTTAAGCACCACGTACTTGGAGCTTCCACTGTCTTTTAAGCTCTCACTATAAAAATACAACCATAAATGGTTGCATTTCCACACTAATTTCCTCCCCTTTACCTCCATTTTTTGCAGACCATAGGCTAAAAAGGAGAGAGGAATTCTTGAGAAATATGTGGCAAGATACAAAACCGCAGCGACCACAGGCAGCTGGGGATTTTAGGACACAAAAGGGGCGGCAAGAGGGCAATGAGCGACATGATGCTCTCTAACAAAGAACAAGGTTTCATTTACACACAGATGCGCACACACATCCACACATTCTGTTACAAAGTTCAATGTCTGGAGGCCAAAGTTATCAGGCCAAACACAAAGCTTCTCTCTCAAGCAGAACTTCTGACAGCAACTCAAAACAAGCACACCCAAAGACTTAACAACAGGAAGTCCCTGAGAAAGTGCTGAGGACAGCAGCTTCGAAACAATCCTGCTCTTCATCTGTTTCTGTGTGTGTCAGTGCGTGTGCATGTGCTCTCCCATCTCTCAGTATGGAGATGACAGCATTGTAAAGGGTATTAGTGTTGTAATGAGCGTGACATTTTCAGACCAATTGTGGCGAGGAGGCTGCAGTCATGGCCTCTTCAGTCCACTGACTTTTCAGTTGCATTCAGAGACATCGCAACCAGGAAATCCCCTCCGGTGGTGAGGACAAGATGCTCATTGCTGCTGCTGGGTGAAAACCATCCACTTTAAAGATTCTTGCTGCTGACTTTTGCCGATTATGAAAGCTTTCATCTAGCATCACAGTGTCTTTCATTTCTTCGGTTAAAACAAACATGGTACAAACACCTACAGTACTGACCAAAAGTATTGTGTCACCTTTCATGGTTTTAGATTTAGTTCTCAAGGAGTAAGACTTTTTTTCTGAATGTCTATCAAAGTGAGCTGAGTGTAAATGTGAAGCCTCAATTTACTATTCAATCTACATCCCTACCCCCACCTATGGTCACAAACTGTGGGTGTGACCGAAAGAACAAGATTGCGGATACAAGCGGCAATAATGGGCTTCCTCCGAAGGGTGGCTGGACTCTCGCTTACAGATATGGTGAGAAGTTCAACTATCCGGGAGGGGCTCAGAGTAGAGCCGCTGCTCCTCCACATCGAAAGGAACCAGTTGAGGTGGTTTGGACATCTGACAAGGATGCTTCCTGGGTGAGGTGTTCCAGGCATGTCCCACCTGGAGGAGGCCATGGGACAGACCCAGCTGCTGCCCCCGCGACCCGGCCACGGATACTTGGAAGAAGATTGATAGACCATCCGTCCATCCATCCATCTAAGAGTTTTGTTGGACGTTGGCTGCTTTTTCACTGATTTTCAGTTCAGTCACTGAACTTTTTTTTGTTGAACCAATGATTTGTGACTTATTCAAGCAGCAGGCAGCTTAGCAAAGAGCCAATTACTAACTGTATCTTTAGATTTTATATTACTACCAGCCTGTCATCAAAACACTTTTTTCTGTTTCTTTAGTTGAAACTATGAAAAAGCCAAAGATAGCACAGTCTAAAAGAAATAAAATAGTATTTTTGTACTATGGAGATGATTCCCAAAGAGCTATTCGCTACGTTTCTCACCAGTTTGTCTTTAAAAAAGTTAAGAGAAACTAGAAAAGGGGAGAACAGAAGAAATAAAAGTCATGTCCTTAAAAAAATTGGGGGGAAAAAAGCAAAGATCTGACAAAGGACTTGAGAGATGCAGCTTGACCTTCAGTTAATCCCTCTACTGTTCACTGAAGTCTCCTCAGAAATGGTCATAGTGGATAGGTGGCTGTCAAGAAGTTCTTCTTAAGGAAGAGAAAAGGTTGCGGTATGCTAAGGTACAGAAGAACTGAAATAAAGATCAGTGGCAAAGGGTCATAGGGAGTGAAGAATCCAAATTTCTCGTGTGTTTCAAATTATTGTCAGTGTGTATGGCAGATACAACAGTATCTAGAGCAGGGGTGGGCAATCTCAGTTCACGAGGGCCGGTGTCCCTGCAGGTTTTAGATGTGTCCTCGAACCAACACAGCTGATTTAAATGGCTAAATTAGCTCCTCAACATGTCCTGAAGTTCTCCAGAAGCCTGGTAACGAACTAATCATGTGATTCAGGTGTGTTGACCCAAGGTGAGATCTAAAACCTGCAGGGACACCGGCCCTCGTGAACTGAGATTGCCCACCCCTGATCTAGAGCCATCTGTAAAACACAGTGGTGCCTCTGTCATGGCTGATTTCAACCAGTGGCTTTCTTGTCAAAACTGATGGAATTAGGAGCACGTACAAGTACTGTCAGATTTGAATCCATCATGCAATACTATCTGGAAAACATTTGATTGGCAACAGATTTTTCTCACAGCATGAAAATGATCCCTAATACATTAGCAAAACAGCGTATCTGGGAAAAAAACCCACATGGTCGGTCATTACTGAAGCAGTGGGGAATTATCTTGACAGAGAGAAGGAAGAGGTAGCTAACATAGAAATGTGCTTAGAAAGGCTCATTCTATTATTAATTGTGTGAACCATCCACTTCACAGTGAGTTTGAGTTGTTGCCTTCCGGCCGCCGTTTTAGAGTACCTCCGAGGAGGACTAAAAGACTCCAGGTCTCTTTTATCCCTACTGCGTCTTGTCTCCTTAATGGCAAATAATTGTCCTTGAATTTTCTATCATTATTATTGTTATTTTATAGTATTGTTCTGTTTGTTCTTATCCTCCTGCTGCTAAATTAATTTCCCCTTGTGGGACAATAAAGAAATTGAATTGGATTGAATTGAATCCTTCAAGAAGTCTGGAGAACCATTTCTGAAGGCTATTTAAATAAATTATAAAAAAGCTTGCCTCAAAGAGTTCAGCCTTTGTTGAAGTACAAAGGTGGTTGTAGTGAATACATGACAGACTGATGCAATATGTATTTTGTGTCTTTCCATTGCCCAAAGATTGTATAATAATAAACATAAAATGCTTGTTTTATTGGCTTAAGTGGTCACCAGTTAGACAAACTTGATTTTTTTAAATGACACAACACAACATTATTTTTGGTGTATTCACAGCTAACTGGAGAACCACTTGAACCATCAGCATAACATGGTCCTGATTTCACAGGCTCAACAACCCCCAAACCGGATAGTACCGGACCCCCATTACAGCAACTATTCACCAGAATAATTACTGCAAAGACATACACACTCAGTAACTCCACTGCAATGATTTCCCATCCTCTAAATTCTAAAAACACTCCACTGGCTCAGATTCAATCGGGCACATGATTCCCAATTTAATCTGTTTTACCTCAGCTCACCATTAATGGGCCACAGGGCCTGAGCTTAGCCATCTAACCAATGAAGCAGAATGGCTAATTGTGGCTCTTACAATTATTAGGGAGGAGAAAGAAGAGGGGAGGATAGGGTTGTCCTGTGGGTTCGTTAACACTCGACTGAGCTTCTTGATAGGTTTAGTTTTAAGACTGTTCAGCTACAGGTAAGAACAACTGAAACGATTAAACAGCCGAGGGATGTGTAAGAACGACTCTGGGTCCCACAGCTTTTATTCCTCCTTTTTTAAGTGACTCAGCCTTTGGCAAATAAATGTAGAAAAGCACAGTTCATACGACGGACACAAGAGCACACACATGCAGGGAAGTACAGTGAATCATCTGAACCCCTGAAGGTAGGAAAGAAAATCAATAAGATAGTCAATTAACATGGGCCACAGATAGAAAGCTGTTTCTGATTCTGTGCTATTTGCTAAAGCAGCAAATCAACTCTAAGTGTAGGGACAGGCTGAGGGCATGAGTCATGAGAGAGAAGCTGCAGGTTCTCTAACTGTAATGTTTTCAATGTGTGTGTTTGTTTGTTTCTAAGCCTTGATTTTGGCACTTCAGCAAAGGAAAGAATTATAATTTATTTTTAAAGCACTCTTTAAAATAAACAGTTACAAAGTGCTGCACAGTCTGGATGAAACCATTTAAGTTGACTCATTTGGTCTCTGCAATAAGTTATCTGGTCTGTCTTCCAATTAATCACATATGGAACGCCAGCATTTCCCACTGGGAATCCGTAACTATCACTTTTCAACATGCAAATATAACCTGATAATTTTGGTGCCCAGACCTAATCAAACAGCAAGTGAAGCAAAAATAAAAAGAGTGAGTGAGTGCAAGGTGCTCCACACTGTAAGGTAAATATCTTACAAAGTTAGACAATGTCGGTTGTCTAACTGTGAACCAGCACTCATTTTAAAAGAAAGAAGCCTCTTGAAGAACTATGCCCACAGAGAGAGCAGTCATCTTTCATGGCAGGAAAGGGGAAAAATGCACTGATGTGCTCGTGTGTTATATTATTTATCATAATATTTGGCAGGTTGGACCACTGGTTTATCCCACTGCCACTCAGTCAGCTTCCTTATACTGACTTGAGTGTAAAATCTGAAAAATTTAGTAACTAGGGACGATGCTGAAAAGATCAATAGTTAAATTCGTAGCTATCTGCACTTGAATGTAAAGCCATGCCTGGGTCCTGGGTCTGTCCAAATTTCCTTACCT